CCTTAATAATACTCTAGTATTTTCTATAAGATACTTACTTAACAAGGTAATAATAGGATTTAAGCTAAGATTAGTAATTATACTAGTTATTAGCATAAAAGATAAAAGTACCTAGGCTAATATTAAAGTCCTTTACTATTTATATTAAGAAAAAGCTATTAAGTTAATTAATATTATAGGAGTAATAATAAAAAATAAATATAATAAAAAGTATAATTTAATTAATTTTTAATAAAAGGATATAGTTTACCTTTATTTAAGAAAAAGATATTATTTACCTAGGTATTCTAAGTAGAAATAGTTAGTAGAGTAAGCTAGTCCCTTTAAGATAGTTAAGATAAAAGGCGTTTTAGCTACTAAACTTAACTTCTTAGCTATATAGTAGGTTTACTTAGTAGTCTTAGTGGTATAACTCTGGAAACTAGCCTAGGGAAAAAATCATTTTTAATAGGGAAGTACTTAGCTATAGCTAGTAGTAGTTAATAGTATAAGCAGAAAGGATATCTAGGAACTGGACAGGATTATTATGTGATATATTTATTAGCTATATAATTAATTTTATGTTAAATTCCTTATTAAATAAAAAGGCTTTACTACTAAGGATAATAGCTAAGTCTTATGCCTAGAACTAATTAGAATAGCCTAAGAACTTATAAATAAGTTTAAATTAGCTTATTTAATTAACTAGATAGCTAAGTATAATAAAAGAAATATCTTAAGGCTTAATAAAAAAATCGTTACTAATATACTTATAAAATCTTAAATCAAAGTAATTATCCCTAGGTAAATAATTTATAAGTTACCTTAAGATATCTAGAGATAATAATAAGCTTTATAGGACTAATAGACACTAATAGACTTTCTATATAGTAAAAAAGGAAATCTTTAGATATATTTATCTTATTAAAAGGGTAAAGTAGGAAAAGAAAATATAATAAGTATAAGTATAGGCTACTAGTACCTATATTAACTAACAGAATATTACTTACTTTAACCTTACTTTTTCTTTTCTTTTTAGCTTTATAAATTTTTTTTTTATTTTTTTTGTTTTTTAAATAGCCATTATTTTTATTAAATCTATTAATAATACTATTACCTTATATAATAGCTTTAATAATAACTTTTTTTTTATTTTTTTATTTTAATATTTTTACTTTAATAATAATAGATTTACTTTTTTTCTTAATATATTTACTACTAAACCTAATAATAACTACTTAAGCTAAAAACAATAATAATATTATTATTAAGCCTTTCTCTTCTACGCTTATTATTAATGCCCTTAGTAATAAGGCTACTTAGCTAGTACCTAACAAAAACAATAACTTAACTAGTATTTCGATTTTTAGTAACCTTACTACTAGTAGAGGAGGTAATATTATAGACACTAGTAGAAGTTATAATATAGATAAACTTTTTAAAGGCACTAATATTCCCTCTAGCCTAAAAGAGAGCCTTATTAGCCTTAGTAATAAAGACAATAATAGAGTTAATAACATAGCCTCTTTAAGCAATAAGAATAACAGCTTTGATGACGACAGAAACAGTAACTCTGACTAGGAGGACAGTGATAATAAGTCTATCCAGATAGTTAACACTTCTACCCTTACCTATAGCAAAGCTAGTAGAAGTAATTGCTATAGTAAAGCTAGTAATTACTATTGTTCCTTTAAGGATACTATTTTTACCTTTAATAAAAAAATAGCTATTACTTTTAATAATAAGCTTTATAAAGAAATACTTATTATTTTTAATAAGTTCTTTAAGAAAAAATCTAAGTAAAAGAATAATAACACCTTATTTATTATAAATAGTATTATCTATAGTATTAAAGAAGCCTATTAAAGAGCCTAGGATACTAAAATAACTAGTATATTAAGTTAGTTAATAAAGCTACTATCTTATGCATAGGTTCTAGTAGTATATATATTATATAAGAACAGATATTTTATTAAGTCTATTAGTAAATACTTTATTAAACTATAAAGGTTAAGCTTAGTATAAGTTAAAGACACTAGATTTACTAGTAAGGCTACTAGTAACACACTTACTATTAAGATACTTCTTTAATAAAAAGAGAAGATTATTACTTAGTAAAATAAGGTTAAAGCTAAATTTATAGACTTTACTATAACCTATAATAAGGCTATTAATTAGCTTTATATTAAGATTAAGGCTAAAAGAGATAATAATATTACTTAAAATAACATAATTAACTAGTTATATAATAAATTTATTATTAAAGTTTATTATAAGGTCTTAATTTTTACTAAGTTTACTATAAAATTTAAAGAGTTTAATATAATATTTAATAAGCTTAATACTATTAACTATAAAACTAATATAGTAATAGACTAGCTTTTAATTTAAAAGAATCAAAATAGCTACACTACTAACCTTATTAACTCTTATAATAAAGCTATTACTAGGAGTAATAAGTTAAGCAGAAATATAACTAGTAGTTATAATAATAGTAACTTTTGTTTACTTAACGTTAAACCTTATGCCTTTAGCGCTAAGGGTATTACCAAAGCCTAGAAGGCCACTAACCCCTACGCTAAGGCTACTAAGAAACACAATACTCCTAGCGCCACAACTAACACCTTTACTAAAAAGGTATATATTAATAAGAGCAAAAGAACAAATAAGCTACTAAGGGATATAGATCTATAAGGAATAGTAAAAGAAATAAGAGATATAATAGATTATATAAGAAGGTTAACACTAAGTAGGGTCCAGGACTTATAATTTTTATTAGAATTTATAGTATTAGGGTTATAGTAATAAACAAAAGATAAAAACAGATTTACTAATAGGATTAGTAAAGAAAAAGGTAAGGATAGTGACATTTTAGCTAGACTATATAGACAATAACCCTGTGAGATATTGCTAGCACAGTAATATTTTAAGGCGGGAAGGGCACATGTTACCCCTGTTAATAGACATAGGAGGTCTACTACTATATAAGGTAGACCTTCCACAGGGTCATTAAGGGAATCAACTTCTTTCACCTCCATCTTCTAGATCCTATCTTTGGTGAAGCAGGTTTACTACATTGACTGTAAGGTCTGTCAGACTACACGATAGATCTGACCGCTCCTCTGAAGGACTTGCCCTATCAGAGGGGTAACAGCTAGGCTGAGCGTCATTTCCAGAGGTAATGGCAACAAAAAATACGCTATAAAGTGCTCTTCAAAACATAAAGTTCAGACTTAGCAAATAAGGTTTTTTATAAGGTCTTTAGGAAGCATAAGAGTATCTTAATAAATTAATGCTCTTAACAGGAAGTTAGTTGTCAAGGCTAGCTAGCCTATAGGCGTAATATGTTTAAGGAGGTTACTTTTTATTATTAGACTATTTAATATACGGTTATACAGTTAATACTAAATTAGCATACAATTTTGCTCTTATTTTTGCCTTCAACATAAAGTACAAGGATCGCAAAACAAGTATCAGTAGAAAGCTCTTGATTTACTCTCCGATTTTAGGTCAATTTAAGGCCAAATTAACGTTATTAAGATACTATAGTAAGAAAATAAAACGATAGGCAGTTAAGGTATTCTGATGTATGATGCCATACACGCACGCGCATACGCGTGAAATAGAAGTGTGATAATAGTTATGGCCTTAGGCTAAAAGTGGGTCAAAAAGAGGAATCGCAGCTAGTTAATTAGTTGCCCTTATTGGTGTGGCCAGACTAATGACCCGGCACTGTACCGTGCACACGTGTAGGAGCACCCTCTCAGACTATTTACTCCACAACAACGGCACAGACTGCACGGAAAAGCCCCGTGGGGTACTGTTCACCCATACCGACAAGAATATCGTCATCTGTATTAGCGACTTGGCAGGTAAAGTATGAGCCACTCTCCAATAGACAACTCGGGAATGTTGGCAGCTCTATGGATTTCTAAACAGAAAAAAGAAAACAATTTTGAGTCACAAGTAGGTGGATCCATACTGAAAGGTTAGCTCTACACACCCTGGGGAAAACCAGGCATGCTCCCATTGCCTCATTTGAGAAATCTCTGTCCTGAACAAATAGGGGTTGATATTCACTCAAATATACGGCCATAAGCTTTGAACTGAGATAATAATTACCGTAGTCCGGGTATGTATGGTATTCTGAAGCCACCCAGATTGCCAAATCACGATCCAATCTCGGGCTTGACCGACATAATACTGTATTAAGAATTTTGTGTTCCACGTGCATTGCAGTGACCGGAACAGAGTTTCTCTAGAATCATTCATTCCTTTTTTTTATTCTTTTTTTTTATTCTTCTTGAACACGCATGGTGCTTGGTTTCAACTGATAGCTAGCCAAAACTCCCTTTGAAGTCAACGATCGAAATGTTTCTATACATGCACAACCAGTCACTGTCACAGTGGAATTTAAGCTCAGCCCTACAAGTCTATGGGATTTTGCCAGTCTGCGCTATGAGTTGCAGTGATAAGGTCGCTTAACAGAACCGCAACACCAGGGGTTCATAGCGCCGCTCACCTGATTTCGACGGCAAATAAATGTGAAGCCTGCGTAAGTTCAATCCAGCAGGGACTTGCAAGCAGGGGCTCCACGATGCTGCTATTTTCAATTAGCATTAGTACTAATGTTTAGAACGAATTAGTGGGCGGATACCCAGCATTGGCCGATTAGATCTCTTTTGTGCTTTACTAATCAGGACTTATCTGACAATTACATTTATTTGTATATCGCTTCAGAGATCTACATACAATATACTATCATCGGAGCCCCCGTACTCTCGAGTCAGCCCATAAGCGGCGGAGATGCACTCTAGTTGAAGATGTACTGATTGTATCCAAACAGCCGATTTAGTCGTCAAGTTGATACACTGTCTTTTGTCTATAAGAAGCACAAGATTGGCGTCAGATGGGAAGAAGAGAACACAACAGCAATCAGTTTCCAACACTCGTTCGCTATCAGCATTCTCTCTTTCATACAGTCTTTCGATCACCGAAGCTTTTTACTTTGAGCAGTCATTATGTTTCAGTCATCTGTGCCATCTTCTAAAATGGGTTTCATCCAGACAGCTAAGGCTTTGGCCATTGCCTTGCCCGCCGCTCATGCGACCGCCATTCCTGCCATCAGCGGCTAGACCCTAACTTGGGGTGATCACTTTATCGGCGATGCTGCAACACTGCCCAACGCAACGAACTGGCTCTTCACCACTGGCACATCTTACCCCGGCGGTTCCGCGAATTTTGGCACCGGCGAAATTGAGACCTACACCGATGCCATCGCAAACGTGCAACTTAGCGGCAGGGACAGTCTGCAGACCACCACTATCAAGGAGTCTGCAGGAGCGTGGACCTCCGCCCGCATCGAGACGCAACGCACCGACTTTGTTGCTGCGGCTGGCGGCAAGATGCGCATCCAGGCCAGCTTTAGCTTGCCCGACGTGGGTAACAAGGCCATCGGCTACTGGCCTGCTTTCTGGGCGCTTGGAAGCGCACTCCGTGGGAACTACCTGTAAGTCGACATTAAAGCCAATAACCAAAACGCCCTTCGAAAATAGTATGCTAACAGTCATAGGAACTGGCCCGCTGTCGGGGAACTCGATATTATGGAGAATGTCAATGGTCTCAGCGAGACCTGGGGTACGATGCACTGCGATGTCAACCCGGGTGGTGCTTGCAACGAAACGGACGGTCTCTCTGGCAATGATAACCCACCCACCCCACAAGAGAGCCACCCCCACATCCGAGCCATCCGAAATTGCTGCATCATCAAGAACATCCCTTTTTTTAAACTATTACAACAATTGCTATTTATCGCTAAATAACATTATCTTTTTAGGATACCTTCTCTATTACACTATAAAGCAATACACTAAGTTTAAGCTTTAATAAGCCTTTATAGATATAATAAATAATTACCTTATTTATTAAGCTACTTATAACTAAAGTATACTATACTAGACCTTTTAATATTAATTATATAGTAAATAAAGTAAAATTATTATATAAGTTAATTATTAGTAATTATTATAGTTATAAAAGGCTAATTTAGTTATTTAAATATTTATTTAAGTTACTTTAAATAGTATTTTTATTTATTAGTAAATAAAAGGTTTAGTAAAGTATATAATAAGTAATACTTTGTAACCTCAAAAAAAAAAAATTTGCTTAATTTTTATAATAATATTTATTAATTAAGACTTAAAGATACTAATTAATTGATTCTAAGTAATATAAAGCTTATATTATAGATATTATTTAAAAATAGTTTAGTTATTTAGATCTATTAGTAATTAAAAGTATTTATTTATTTAATTAATAATATAATAATATAATTCTTTTAGCTAAATAGTTATATATTATAAAAGTATATAAGTAGTATTAATAATAAAGCTTATATATATATAAGTATTAATAGATCTTTTAGGTCCTTTAAATTAATTAGTTATAATTATAAAGTTTAAAGGTCTTTACTATAAAGTATTACTATTAATATTTTATTATAAATAAAATATAAATAAGATCAGTGTTATAAAAAGTAAAAAAAATAATAAGCTAATCTTAGGTTTTATAATATTATAATATATTTAGAAAAAATAACTTAGATTTAAAGTATAAATATTATTAATTAAGTATATATTTACTACTAAGACCTTTTTATTTTTTTTTATTATATATAAAAGTAAATTAATTTAGGCTTAATAGTTCTTATTATTTAATTTATTTAAATATATTAATTAGTATTTTATAGTATTAAATAATAACTAAATAAATAATTAAATTACTTTTAAATAACTAAAAAAGGTCTTTATTCTAAGAACTATATTTAGTTAACTAAATAAGACTAAGTTACTAATTTTAAATAACTCTTATACTTATATAATAATAGACTTTATATAATAATACTTTTAATATTATATTTATTTACTATTTTTATTATTATATTTTTTATCTTTTAGCCTTTAAATATATTAGTTTTTAGCTTATTAAAGTAAACATATTAAAAATAAATTAAAAGTCTAAATAATTAAATAAATAATTTAACTATTACTAATAAAAAAGTATTTTTAAACTATTATTTTAATATATATAAAGTAATAATAATAACTTAAAATATAAAGTTTAATTAAAAATAAGCTAAATTATAACTAATATTTATATAATATCTTTTATTTAATTCTTTAATATTAAAAATATTATTTAATTAATTAATTAACTGAATAAATAATAACTAATAATAAAATAAAGTAATATTTATTATTTTATAATTATCTCTTTATAATTTTATTAATTTATAATATTAGTTATATTTATTTAATTAACTAAATAAAAATACTTTAAATACTTAGTTATATTATTTATTATTTATTTAAAAAGCTATAAAAAGGATATAATAAGTAAATATTTAGACTAGTAATTATAAAGTAATAAGTTAATAATCTATAAGCCTGTCTAAATAACTAGTATAAGAGTAAAAAGAAAAAGGTCCTTATATCTCCTAATAGCACCTTTACAACAATAGCCTATATCTAGCGGGCACAAAATACGGATATCAGCGATACAGATAGTCTAGATGAATCCAGCGCATCTGAATTATCTAGTGAAGCCGGAAGTTGCATCTGGGTGGGTGGAAGAGGGAGTGAAATAAGTGGTGATAGTGGTAGTGATGGTGGTGTCGATGGTGGCTCGGATGTGGGGGTGGCTCGTTAACAGGGTGGTTGTGTTACATGCACCGGCACTGCTTGCCAGGGCAGTTTCCACACTTATGCTGTCGAGGTCAACCGCTCTGCGTCGCCGGAGACTGTGAAGTGGTACCTTGACGATGAGGTCTACTGGACTGTCACCGGGACCGATGTGCCCACCGCAATTTGGGAACAGACTATCCACGTTCCTTACTTTGTTCTGCTCAATCTCGCTATTGGTGGGTCCTTCCCCGATAAGAACTATGGTAGCACTACTCCGCTCGAGTGGCGGTGTCTTCGAAGCCCAGTACGTTGCAGTTTACAACTCCTAGGTTATTGTTGGAATCTCAGAGCATTTTTGTGTGTACCTAGGAGATTGTAGACAAGGGTAAAGACCAAGTCTCTGGGGTTGCTGGAGAACATTGTAAACTATGGCTTGGAGTTGGTAAGCAAGTTGTTTTAGGATCCTGCAATAGAGTCGAATGCATTTTTTCCATATTTCTGTGGTGTTATTATGTCATATTCATTCAAACCTGAGTCAGTAAAGCGGACTGAGAAATGGCGTGAAGACTAATCCTAGGAAGATAAAATGAGGTATACGCATTTGTCAGATTCTACTGAATAAGCTAAGTCGCCCAATTAAAACTTCATTTCTACATAGAGCGTATTCCTTTCACGTAGCGTTCGGAAAACATGAAAAAGCGTTAGAGAGAAATTGCTTCTGCTCGTCACAACTTCCACCAAGTCGTTGGCATCCACCATTTGACAGAAATCGACATCATGCGGTTGTTCAATTTTCTATCGCTTGTAGCCTTTCCTTTGGGAATTCACGTGTCGTTATCATTCAATGCCTGGAACCATCAGTGGTTTCAGCCTCGAGCAGGCGATCATGAGTACCGTTGCAAAGACTTGCAATTGCTTGCTAACAGAAGCCTAACGGTGAATCGTTAATACAGATCGAATTCCGTGTCCGGGTCTCAATACAATTGCCAAACACTGATATCTCACCTGAGATGGGAATGTTGGAATACCCAAACCACCTGTGACTGATGGGTGACGGATGATCACGTGAATCTCATGTAGTTCTCCTCGTCAGCCAATCAGATATTACGGATTCAACCAGCTCAGCTGATGATATCTTCTCGATCACCACCCTCAGCTTCACTTCTCTTCTTCAACTCAAAAAGGAAAAACAAAAAGCCTCGCAGATCCACTATATCGTGACCCTTTTCGATACCTTAATCCGTACTTGTAACGGTTTCCGTGTGGTACCGACAGCTAGATTCATTTCGTTGCAAAGTCTGACAAACGCACTGTACAAAGGCATGAATTCCGACTCTAGTCGAGGCCAGTTTCTTGATCAACGATAGGTAATCCAAATACATTTCATCTGGATGACATCGCGGCCCACGGCGACTGTGAGTATCAGACCACTGATAAGAATTCATGTATTCATGTCACTACAATTAACTCGTAACATCATAGTCATTGAGCATGACGCTATTTAAGCTGCGCCGATGCCTAATTTTGCGACCATCTCGGCTTTAATGAAGCCTTTTAATCTCAAAATCAGCCTATACTGTTCGTCAAAGATCCAAACTCTCTAGTAAGCTTTTCCAAAGCTAGAGCAGCTCGATTCCAGACAAGCATGACTGAAACCCCTAGTTTCACATTACAGAGATCCAGAAGATCTGTAGTCTTTTAGAAATAGCTGCCATTCAACGGTCTTTCCGCATAATGTTACAGTCAGATATCCGACAGTGGTGTTTTCTGCTAATAGACAGCTAAGGTCAATACTCAGTAACAGTAAGGTAAGTCTTGTTGGTAATCTTGCTGGTCTGTTGGTGTCTAGTGATTAGTCAGGTACGTCTAGGCGTAGGTAGCTTATAGCTTTACAATAGAGGGATAATCTAAGAGTTACTTATAAGAGAGTGAATTATGAAGTTGATTGTTAAAGAGCTATAGAAGTTTGTTTTAAAGCTTATCTAAGTTATCTTATATATAAGTCCTGATTCTACTATTTATATCTTGTTAGTATAGCGTTTATATTTTTTATAAATAAGGCTTATATACTAAGTATATAGCTTTTATACTTTTAGCATATAGATTTAATCTTATTTATTATTATATAACTTACTTATAGTTCTTTTAATTTATAAAGAGTATTTTTTTATAAATATATAAAGGCTATGTTATTTATACTTTTAAGGTCTAGTAAGGCTAGTATTTACTTATATTTTATTAGGTTATAATATTAGGTCTTTTTTCTTTAAGACTTTACCTTTAAGGTTTATAAATAAATTATGTTTCTTAGGTTAAAGAGTTATTGAATGTATTTCTTTTTTTATTTATAATATTAATATTATATTAAGTTATCTAAAAATATTAAAATTAAAATTAATACTTTATTTAATATATAACTAAGTTTTTAAATAGTTTAGAACTTTAAATATTATACTTTATATTTAGTATTTTTATATAAAGTATACTTATAAAATAACTAAAAGAGCTAAAGTTTATTAAGGCTATAAGAACTTAAAGCGTCTTTATAATAGTCTTATAGTAGTATTAAGTTATAAATATATTTTATTTTATAATATTTTTTATATTAATAAGTATATAGTATAATAGCTAAGTAATTAGCGTTAAGAACTAGAGGAAAGAAAGAAGTAAATAAGTAATACTTTTTTTAAACTTTATTAGAAGTTAATTAAGATTTAGTCTTAAGTTATTAAAGCTATTAGCTATTTATTATAGATTTATATTATTTATAAGAAGATTAAGGAGCGTTATATAAAGACTTTTACTTATAGTATATAAAAGTTAAAGGAAAATAATATCTTGTTAGTACTTAGCGCTTATAAGTAATATGTAGTATATAATTTGTAGGCTAATAGTGTTCTTAATAACGTTAACTTAATAAGTCTTAGAATTAGTAAGGAGTTTATAGATCTAGGCCTATTAGTATAAGCGTCTAGTTTTAAGGTATTTATAAGTTATAGTAGTCCTAAAAGAGCTGTTAAAAGTATTAGAGGTTTTTAACTAGTTCTTATATATTATTCTTAGGTCTATAGTTTTTTTATTTTATAAAATATTATATTCTTTTGTTCTTATATCTTTCATTAATAATTTCTTTAACTTTA